TGAATCTCTTTCATGTCGCCGGTATTATTTAAAACGATTCACATATTTCAGTTTCCTCATAGTATGGCTACTGCACAAGTCAACGTACATATTGAAGTACAAATTTGCTGTGCAATATTGTGCTGTGCAAGAAAATCACCTAATGTATGAATAAAAGTAGATTATTAAACACCATACTTGAGAAACGTGTTTTAAAACTTGAACAATATGCTTGATTTGACTAATCCTCGTAGATACTGCCTAGAATGAGATATGTATATTTTCAATTATTCGATGAAAACTGATACAAAAAATGCATCCGTATTAACTGACCCGAGCACCTGGTTCTACCAACCAGCCAATGGCAGAAATATTCATTCATGCTATCAAATCAGTATTATAAATGACAGGATAAATTCCAGTGATTAAAGAAAATATTACTCGAAAATTCATATGAAATTTTGTAATTTAAGTATTCGACGGGCCACTTCAAGACGGGCGCTGTGGGAAGCCAAGTTGAAACGCTAGCGTAACTCTTCTATTTTATTTCAATTATACAAAAATATTGAATATTGAATTTAATCTAAAGAAGACGACTGTGAATTTCCGCCCTAAGTAATTTACCGTAACTAATTCAATGATTCAGGAAAATGAGAAAGGATTGACTACCAAAAACTTGAACAAAATTTATTTAATTTTGGCTGTTTTTTTCTTCTTCTTGCGGCGCTTTGTCTTCCTCTTCATCTTCTTTTCTGTATCATCGTCGTCGTCGGCTGCCGATCCTCCTTCCCCTCTTCCCTCCTTCTCTTTGTTTTCACTCTGTTGCTGCACAGTCGTTATGTTGATAGTACTTCAGTAAATTAGAATAACTTGAATTGCATTATTACCCTTATTGGCAACATGATACTTAATTACTACTTACTAAAAAATGGCCTAGCATTATTATTGGAAAAAAATGTGATGCATTTTAATAAGCGTACTTATTTTTTAATCATTTAACGGCACCTTTCCCCGGAATAAAGTTGTTTCTGTGGTCATTCAGCTGCAGTCAGTAAACGCTCGAGTAGCTCCTGCAGTTGAGCCGTCTCGTTCAACATGCGTCTTAGCCCTCTATTTCCTGACATGAGTAACCGGAGCAATATTGTCACGCGCCTACTTCCCAAAAAGGATACAATCTAGTGAGCGCAAAATGACTTGCACTGATGGTTGCCGCCCCGTGCAACTTTAAACTGTTCGCTGTTGCGTACAAAAGTCCTCAGGTTACTACACTCGATAAATTTACGTATAATTTAAGTCGAAAGTTATGTTTCCGGAGAGTGACATACGGCGTTAGAGGTTTAATCGAACGCTTGCAAGGCGGTAGAGTATTAATCGATCGCTGCTTCCGTGCTAACAACGAACGACCTATCATTCTTGCGTACTCTGATTTCAAAGCGATACCCGATATTTTGAATATGGATTATGATGGTAGGGTAATGTTATGGATATTTACAAATCATTTTATTACAAAAGCGAGTTTTTGTTAGACACGATTATTTTGCCATTCCTGCTTCCCGCTCTGGACAACGTAAGTGTAATTCGGTCATTGACTGGAGTTATATTTTGAAGACCTTCACATGAACAGATCACGTGTACAGACTGCCTGGTGGTGTACAGACTGTACCTGTGGTCCTGGCGCTGGTAGCTGTTGTACAGACTGTACCTGGTCCTGGCGCTGGTAGCTGGTGTACAGACTGTACCTGGTCCTGGCGCTGGTAGCTGGTGTACAGACTGTACCTGGTCCTGGCGCTGGTAGCTGGTGTACAGATGGTCTGTACATCTGGCCGCGCACAGCTCGTCGCCGCACTGCTCACACACCGCCAACCGCACCTCCACCACAGCACCACGACCAGGCACCACCTGGTGGTGGTGGCAATGAGTAAGTGATGCTGGTAGACGGAGAGGTCGAAGTGTTACTGGTTGGACGACCACTTTCCAAACGGACCACTGCCGCATAGTAGCGACCATGGATTAGATGTATAGCACTTTTTATATGGGTCCCTGTGGTACGCCGTAAGTAACCAACGATGGCGTAAAAGAGTTCCCTCGTCGAGTTCATTTTAATCTATTTCTTGAATAATAATCAGAGCACTTTGCCGCGCAGGCCGAATGATACGTCAAGTCGACGCAATAGTATGGCGTGGTCGACCGTGTCAAACCCGGCCGACAGGTCGAGTAAAGCTAGTGTCGCAATGTCGCTCAGGTCTACTGTTCGCTCGCAGAATGTCTGAAAGCACCTTCAGCTCAGCAGTTTCCGTGGAGTGGAGATGGTTTGCAGACTGAAAGTGAGACATGACACCGGACTACTTGAGATGGTTATTCAGCTGTCGCGCCACAACGCGTTCCAGGAGTTTCCACAAAAATCGACAGGTTGGAGATGGGTCTATATGATTTGGGATCAGAAGTGTCATGGTCTGTTTTTTTTTCGATAGAGGCCTAATTTACACTGATATGAAGTTCATCGGAACGGAATAACACCGTCAGTGAGCGCAGCGGTTGAATAGTTCGACCAGAAAAGGTGCTAGCTAGGGTTTCGGGCTAGCACCCGAAAAATCTGCATGACCTCTTCCCATAAGTTTATCGAGGGTCGCTGCGTTGCGCGTCGACTCTCTGGTGCCAAAATGACCTCTTAGATCGAAGAAGGGCGATATAGTTGCGCCGCGCATCTCTCTCGGTAGACAGCCTGCTGGAGTAGTCGAACCCCCCGCTTCGAGACCCAACATTCATCGTCAAATCAAGCCTGGGTCGGAGACTCGTTGGGGTACCCGAACTGTGAGTGCAGGAATGAGGTTAGAGTGCAGCGGTCAGTTCGGTATAGTAGAGTTGCATCAGATCGTCGACTAATAGTGCCAAACATGAGTCAGGCCGACATACTAGTCGAGACGACTGCAGCTTTTCGCGTAGGACATCGCCGTCGAGACCGCGCCACGAACTACAGGTCTTGTACGCTGGCACCGGGCGCACACATGGCACCGTCCACAGAAGTAGTCGATGGTCGGATATTGCGATCTCGATGATGTCAACTGGCAGACTTTGAAGGTCAGCACGCGTGGTGACAACGTACAATAGTACGCCCATGTCGTGCGTCGGCAGGGTCATGTGGTGACAAACAATGCCAAAGGTGGACAGGAGTTCGTTCAGCGTACGAGCCGATGGATCGTCGATGCGATCCAGTCGAACGTATAAATCGCAAGTGATAAGGACATTATCGAGAAAGCCACCAGACTGGTGAAGACATCACTCCATTCGACGAAAAAAATCGCACGCCACAGTAACCGATGCAGGAAGGTGGATGGTGACTGCAACGCCCATAAACGAGGCACAGATGACCCTAGCAGATAGGAGCTCAACATTGGTGGGTCTGGCGCCGATGTCAAGAACGGCAAGGTGCACGCCCCCACTGGTCGATGGTCGGATATTGCGATACTGGCGACGGTAGCTACTCCACCATAATTCGTCGCCAAGGTGTCGGGTTGCATGCGGGGCCGCGCGCGCTGGACTACCTTGAGTCCTTCAGCGCAAAGATGCGAGATGCAAACCGAGTCAGCGTCGTGCCAGGTCTCGGTCAGGAAGACGACATCTAGTGAGTGCGAGCGACAAATGTGAAGAAACTCATCAACCTTGTTATTCAGCGAACGGATGTTGAGGCAGCCGAACGATAACCAGCGACACGGCTGCGCACAGTGGCGATCAACACGAACGCTAAACAGGTTTTGAGGCCTACGGGTCGACATAGGCCGATGCTTAGCAAAGCAGCAGCATTCGCAGACGTTGAATTAGTCTAAATGACTTCCGCCGTAGCAACGGCCTATTGCCAGTGATAACGAACACACTGGTGTCGCGCATTGCTCGATAGGTGACAGCAGGACTCCTATTTCGGCGACGATAAGTCATGCGATGCGTGGAGACCGGCACGACAATCCACTCTCTCACGGAGAAACGGATAATATATACATATTCAGAAAATTCATGAAGAATGCAGCCTGTCACTTATTTTTAGTTACTTCGACGATTTCGACCAGAATTCCTACACCTAGTTGCGGGTTTCAAACCTCCAACTCGCTGCTGTTCAAAGTGACGCATTAGGCATTTCATCCACCGAGCAAAAATTAAAAAATGGATACGCGGATACGTCTATTTGTACAGGTATACCGTTTGCTAACGAGTGCTCAAATATTAACATTATTTTTCACAATTCTTTGCTTATTGCTCACCTTTACTGTTCGCCACGTTTGCTCCTTCCCTTCCTCGAGCTTCTGGCGCGCGAGCTGCAGGCGTCCCATCTCCACGTACCTGATCCTCAGACGGGTATGTTACACCGGGTATTTTATGCCAGTGTTATATTGTACTGGTGATGTTATACCGGTTATGTTTTGCCAGTAATGCTAAACAGTTGTAATACTAACGGTAAAATAATGCCGGTGTTATTTTATACTGGTAATGTTATACCGGTTATGATATGCCAGTCATGGTAAAGGGTTGTAATATTAACGGTAAAATAATTCCGGTGTTTTATTATACGGTGATAACACACCGGCGCTGTCATATACGGTTATGTTATATGGTCATGTTAACGGAAAAATTCTGCCGTTTTGTCATACGGTTATAATAACGGTAAAATTATTTCTGTTATGTTATAAAGTATTGTTATGCATCTTACTACTACTACTGCTACTACATCGCACTACTCCTGCTGATGCATCGCACTACTCGCCTGGAGAAAACTTCCTCCTCGAGCTTCGACTTCGGCCTCGCGGTTGTCAGCATCCGCCAGTCGATGTCGACCTGGCGACAAAAAAAAACGACGAGGAGGCAAAATCAATATTAATATATCAAATATTTTTCAACAGGGACCGCACTATAAACAAATATTGAAGAGTTCCGTCTGCCAATCACTGACGGCTTTTCCTGTTAATCCCACTACACAGACGAGAAATAGACCGCTACGTGTACTTAGACTACTACAAGTTCTTAGGTCGCCACGTGTACTTGGGCCGCTACGTGTACTTGGGCCGCTACGTGTACTTGGGCCGCTACGTGTACTTGGGCCGCTACGTGTACTTGGGCCGCTACGTACAGTAGCACATATTTCATTACTTTTACAATGGAATTTTTTTTCGCGCGGTCGCTGACTGACGTGACTGTAAAACTGTCGTTTTTTCCTAGCCAATTAAAAATAATACAAAAAAACGAAAAAAATAATAATTAGTAATCAAATTAAAGTAAGAGTAGAATTTCATCATCACATTGAATAAATTAGCATATTATTCATCACATCAAATGAATAAAAATCAGAATTAGTAATCAAATCAGTATTAGTAAAATTTCATTATCACATTGAATAAAGTTATAAATTATTCATCACATCAATTGAATAAAAATAAGTATAGGTCATCATATCAGAATTAGTAAAATTTCATCATCACATTAAATAAATTAACTTATATTCATCACATCAAATGAATTAAAATAAGAATTAGTATTCAAATCAAGTACGAGTAGAATTTTATTATCACATTGAATAAATTAACTTATTATTCATCACATCAAATGCAGGTATAATATTTACCTGGTAGAAATCAGGCATGTGCAGCCCCCGCATGGCCTCAGGTCGGGGGTCGCTGTAGGGGTGAGGCTCCCCCCGCGCCCCTCCTGCGTACCGCCACCCCCCTTCCCCCTCCCCCGTCACCTCCTCCTCCCGCACCTCCGGCACAAACACGTATCATGGATACGCGGTTAAGAGGAGCGCAATGGCGTATCATGGATACGCAATTAAGAGGAGCGCAACGACGTATCATGGATACGTAATTAAGAGGAGCGCAACGACGTATCATGGATACGTAATTAAGAGGAGCGCAACGACGTATCATGGATACGTAATTAAGAGGAGCGCAACGACGTATCATGGATACGTAATTAAGAGGAGCGCAACGACGTATCAGGGATATGCTTCAGAGGAACAAATCGTGGATACACAATCCCAGGACACAACATGCGGGCCACAGTCCCACTTTTCCTACTTTCTTGGGCTGGACTTTGTACTCAGTCCACGAGTCTCAGTCCCCCAGTCCACGAGTCCCAGTCCACGAGTCCCAGTCCACGAGTCCCAGTCCACGAGTCCCAGTCCTTCAGTTCACGAGTCCCAGTCCCCCAGTCCACGAGTCCTAGTCCTTCAGTCCACGAGTCCCAGTCCCCCAGTCCACGAGTCCCAGTTCACGAGTCCCAGTTCACGAGTCCCAGTCCCCCAGTCCCATTACAGTCCCCGGGTCCCATTACACTGTCCCAGAGTCCCATTACACAGTCCCCGAGTCCCATTACACAGTCTCCAGGATCAAGTACCTAAGTCCCCCAGTCCCATTACACAGTCCGCGAGACCCATTGCACGGTCACCGAGTCCCAATACACAGT